CTAGAACCCTAAGTTGCTGCCAAAGGCAAGCAATGAAAATATATGAAAAAGCCTCCAGTTTTTCATCCAGAATAACTGCAGTGAACTGCACTCTAACTGCAGTTACACTGCAAAATTACTGCAGTAAAAAAATATATATATTTTGGACGCAGTATTTGCTGCATACTGCAGTTATACTGCACTCTTTTTTCGTAAGGGTGGGCACAATACAGGTACTTGTGCAACCTTCACAACCACTAATACTTCACCTCACCTGCCGAGTGTTGTTAGAAATTCAATATTGGCAACATATTTGACTACAACAAAAAATCGGAGTAGGAGTAGATAAGCTTACCTAAAATAGAGCAAGCACGTCCTCTGTTGGAGATATAAAGAACTACAGCACTGCCAGTTTGTCCACTGTTTTGTCCATCGAAGTCTTCCGTCAGTTGCGTTGTCAAGGGGATCAAAACACAGGTGCTGTCCACCGTACAGCAAAATTACATTACCGTTCTCCTAGCAGTGGGATATTATGCTGGCAGCACGATCCCGCGTTTTAAAAAATAAGAGTCCCCTGCAAAGACATGCTAAACTTTGGGAATGTCGAGATATTTTTTTTTGCACTCTATTGCAGTACAACTGTCTTTCACAGCATTGCAACCACCATTGAAAATATTTATGGATAATTTGATGTACTTTTATTTTTTATATTGTGTTATTTATAACAGCATTTATTTAGAAGGTTTACACACCAATACTGGTATGTTAAAAGCTATTCTGTAGGCTATATTTAAAGAAATACACTTTTAATAAAATACAAATACACTATATATACACAAAAGTATGTGGACACCCATTCAAATAAGTGGATTCGGCTATTTCAGCCACACCTGTTGCTGACAAGTGTATAAAATCAAGCACACAGCCATGCAATCGCCATAGACTAACATTGGCAGTAGAAGGGCCTTACTGAAGAGCTCACCATCATAGGATGCCACCTTTCCAACAAGTCAGTTAGTCAAATTTCTGCCCTGCTAGAGCTGCCTCAGTCAACTGTAAGTGCTGTTATTGTGAAGTGGAAACGTCTAGGAGCAACAACTGCTCATCTGCAAAGTGGTAGGCCACACAAGCTCACAGAACAGGACCACCGAGTGCTGAATCGTGTCTGTCCTTGGTTACAGCAATCACTACCGAGTTCCAAACTGCCTCTGGAAACAACATCAGCACAAGAACTGTTCGTCGGGAGCTTCATTAAATGGGTTTCTGTCACGTCTACTCTTGCTCCCTCCCTCCGGTGTTCGACGTCGCCGGTCTGCTAAACACTGGTCCTGGCAACCCAGCATTACGCACACCTGGCAACCTTCATTACGCACACCTGTGCCTCATTAGGCACACCTGGACTTCATAATTTCCCTGATTACTCCCCCTTTATCTAGCACTCCGTTGTTGCCACCCATTAGGTAGTATTGTTTCTGTTTTCATGTTCAGATGCTACTCCTGTTTTTGTATTCGCTCGTTCCTATTAAACTCACCGACTGCACCTGCTTCCTGACTCTCTGCGTCTTCGTTACAGAATACTACCTCACAGAATGGAAGCAGCAGCCAACTGAGACATCTCCCAGATGGTCGGCGAACAGGGAAACCTACTTCTCCAACCCCACGACCAGCTGGCACAACTGGGGATGGCTATGGATGAGGTCCTCCACGTTCTTCAACGTGTAGATCTTCCTCAAGGAGCGTTGGCACTCCCATAGCCTCTCTCCCTCCTTTGTTGACCGATCTGAGTCAGAGCCTGAACCCATGGAGTTAGGGGCCACATGCCTCCCCTCGGCTGAGCAACGCCGTCGGAGACAGCTGGGGCTCTGTCCCTATTGTGGTCAGGAGGGGCACCAGCTTCAACGGTGTCCGCTATGTCCCAATCCGGGATCCACTAGAGCAGAGGGACGGCCCTGTGATCATCCATCTCCTGAGTATTCCATCATCACTCTCCACCAAACCCTTTTTAGTACTGATTTCACTAGCTGGCTGTCCCTCGTGGTGTTTCAACAGCTCTAGTGGATTCCGGTGCCGCAGGGAATTTTGTTGACCAGGCCCTTGACGTCGCCCGCTATGTCAACTCCTGCTCCGTATGTGCTCAAACCAAGGCTCCCCGGCACGCTCCAGCAGGGTAACTCCTTCCCATGCCTCAGTGGCCTTTGTCCCAACTATCTATAGATTTTGTTACTGATCTTCCCTTGTCTGATCGTTTCACCACTGTTATGGTTGTTGTGGACAGATTCTCAAAATCCTACCGTTTTATCCATCTCTCTTGTCTCCCTACCACTCTTCAGGTCGCTGAGGTACTGTTCCAGCAGGTCTTCCGGCACTATGGCCTTCCGGAGGACATCGTCTCCGACCGTGGTCCCCAGTTCACGTAGCGAGTATGGAGAGCCTTCATCGAGAAGCTGGGGGTCACGGTCAGCCTCACATCCGGGTACTGGCCTCAGTCCACGGGCAAGTGGAGAGGACCAACCAGGAGCTTGGGAGGTTCCTGAGGAGTTACTAAGGACCAGAAGAGGGAGTGGGCCTGGTTTCTTCCCTGGGCAGAGTACGCCCAGAACTCACTTGGTCACTCCTCCACCGGGTTGTCTCCCTTCCAGTGTGTCCTGGGGTACCAGCCTACTCCCGCTCCCTCCCTCCGGCGCTCAACGTCGCTGGTCTGCTAACCACCGGTCCTGGCAACCCAGCATTATGCACACCTGGCAACCTTCATTATGCACACCTGCGCCTCATCATTAGGCACACCTGGACTCCATCACTTCCCTGATTATTCCCCCTTTATCTAGCACTATGTTGTTGTCACCATTAGGTAGTATTGTTTCTGTTTTCATGTTCAGACGCTTCTCCTGTTTTTGTATTCACTCTATGTTCGTTCCTATTAAACTCACCAACTGCACCTGCTTCCTGACTCCCTGCATCTTTGTTAAAGTTTCCATGATCGAGCAGCCGCACACAAGCCTAAGATAACCATGCGCAATGCCAAGCGTTGGCTGGAGTGGTGTATAGCTCACCGCCATTGGACTCTGGAGCAGTGGAAACACGTTCTCTCGAGTGATGAACCACGCTTCACCATCTGGCAGTCTGACGGACAAATCTGGGTTTGGCGGATGCCAGGAGACCGCTACCTGCCCCAATGCATAGTGCCAACTGTAAAGTTTGATGGCGGCGGAATAATGGTCTGGGGCTGTTTTTCATGATTCTGGCTAGGCCCCTTAGTTGCAGTGATGGGAAATGTTAATGCTACAGCATACAATGACATTCTAGACGATTCTGTGCATCCAATTTTGTGGCAACAGTTTGGGGAAGGCCCTTTCCTGTTTCAGCATGAAAATGCCCCCGTGCGCAAAGCGAGGTCCATACAGAAATGGTTTGTCGAGATCGGTGTGAAAGAACTTGACTGGCCTGCACAGAGCCCTGACCTCAACCACATCGAACACCTTTGGGATGAATTGGAACGCCAACTGCGAGCCAGGCCTAATTGCCCAACATCAGTGCCTGACCTCACTCTTGTGGCTAAATGGAAGAAAGTCCCTGCGGTAATGTTCCAACATCTAGTGGAAAGCCTTCCCAGAAGAGGGGGGGACCAACTCCATATTAATGCCCATGATTTTGGAATGAGATGTTCGACGAGCAGGTGTCCACATGCTTTGGGTCATGTAGTGTATATGTATTTGGAATTACTCAATAGAGTCTGCAAAATTTAAATTGTTCTCTTGTACTGACCAATGAGTTTAATACAGAGTGCTGATTTATTTTCTCCATTCACTGCAATGCAATACACTGTATATAAATTACATATTGGCTCATAGAGAAAAATCTATTCTATGTGCCGACATAAAAGTGAGGTTGGGAATACTCTGTGTCTGTAGAATCTATATATGGTGTTATTTCTTGGGGGACTGAGGTCTAAATACCCAGCAGCACTTTCTACTCCACCCACTCCATTCACTGCAATGCAATTGGCCTACACAACACTCTTAGAAAAAAGGTGCTATCTAGAACCTAAAAGGGTTCTTCAGCTGTCCCCAGGTAGAACCCTTTTTGGTTCCAGGTAAAACCCTTTTGGGTCCATCTAAAACCCTTTCCACAGAGGGTTCTACCTGGAACCAAAAAGGGATCTCTTATGAGGACAATCGAATAACCCTTTTTTCTTCGTTTGTAGGCCTTTAAATTACATATTGGCTTATAGAGAAAAAAACTATTCTACATGCCGAGGTAAAAGTGGGATTGGGAATACTCTGTAGGGTCTGTAGAATCTATATAGGGTGTTATTTTTGGGGGGACTGTGGTCTAAATTCCCAGCAGCACTTCCTACTATGCAATTTTTAGGCCTATAGTGTATTGCATTGTAGTGAATGTATTGGGTGCAGCAGAAAGTGCTGCTGGGTATTTATACCACAGTCCCCCAAGATATAACACCGTATATATATTCTACAGACCCTGCTGAGTAATCCCAACCCCACTTTTATTTCGGCACATACAATATTTGTTTCTCTATAAGCCAATATGTAATTTATATGCCTATAGTGTATTGCATTGCAGTGAATGTAGTGGGTGGAATAGAAAGTGCTGTTGGGTATTTAGAACACAGTCCCCCAAGAAATACCATATATAGATTCTACAGACCCTACTGAGTATACCCAACCCAACTTTTCCCTTAGCACATAGAATAGTTTTTTCTCTACAGACCAATATTGTGAACATACCAGTCTGAACATTGTATTGTTCGATAGTGGTTATTTTTTTGGGGGAAGCATATATATTTTTGTATTGTTTCCATAAATTCATTGTGCTTATAAGCACAATACAAATGGACATTGGTTAAAATGTAATATATTTTGAATGAGTTATTCACATTTGCAATGTTTTGAAATGCGAGCTTTTATTTTGAAAAGGCCTCTTTACCATACAAAGTGACGTCATCATCTGTGCTGCCGGCCTTGCAGAATTCTTGTCAAAATGACTCTTCCACGGACCGGGGCACAGTGATAGCTAGGTGGGGGCACATCTGCTGCGCGACAGTCTTGTCCCGATGACGTTGGCCGCTGATCTGACGATTTTCACTTGCTAGCTATGCGTTTAAAAGGTAACGCGATACAATCTGTAGATTAAATAGCGAAATTCTATTCTATGGATGACACAAAATACAATTTATTTATTGTTCTTCGCTATAGGTGCTAGCTAGCAGTGGGAGGCTGTCAAGCCAGCAATGTCAACCGGTGTTAGTTAGCCTGCTAGCCCTGCACTTTACTGTACTCAGCCACAGTGATTGAATAATGATAACATTTGCTTTCCGGGGATGAAACAAAGTGTCTAGCTAGCTAACGTTGGCTATATCTTGTGGGAAGATTTTGGCCAAACCTCACATACAATAGCCTATCACATACAATAGCCTAGTTTAAAGCCTACTAGTAGCTAGCTAACTGGTAATGATGACAGCTGACATGGGCTTCGTCCATGGGCCGTTTCACTGAATCGTCTAGCTGAACTGTCGGCACTGTTGTAACGTTAGGCAAGCTGGTCCACGAGTGGTTACATTGTAGCTAGCGTGTGACTGGATAGCTATGCAAAATTCTGTTTATAACTGGCTGTCACATTATTTTCGGGCTGTGCGTTATTGCCGAGCCCTGCCTTGTGGTATTGATTCGTATAATGAGTGATCATTATGTAAAAGTGAAGGTTCAACTCGAACAAATGAAATCATCAGGCGAGGTTGTGGAGAAGGAGGAGGCAGATATTATCGAGGATGAGGTGCCGGTGGCATCCCCGCCCGCATCTGTCTCCCCAATCCCGGCTAGTGGTACTCCCGTAGCCCAAAGGGAAACATCCAAGACCTCTGTCACTTGCAGGAATCGGAGTAAAAGTAGGAGCAAACTAGGCAAAGATGAAAAGAACACCTGCGCAAAGCAGGAGTCAGACCCAGCACTGCAAGGGACTATAGTAGCTTCCAATGCCAATTCGGGGAAACCCATGAATCGAATAGACAATGACCGGCAGATGCTTCAAATCAAAGGGACTGGGAAGATTCTGCAGGGGGAGACTGAAGCGAATGGTAACACTGTTCCCATCCAACCGCCAAAAGACATCAAAGTAAGCCCACACAACAAAGAGGATGCAAACAAAGTTGCAAAGAGGAGGAAGCCAGTCACCGTGGACACGTTAAAAGCCAAAACCTCTTTGGAGGCACTGAAGCTCAGCATCAGGCAGCTCAAATGGAAAGAGGTATGTCCTTGTTTCATTGATTCATATTTATTGACAAAATGTAGGCTATAGATAGATAGTCAACATTGTTTCTATGCTGAAGTTAAGGAGTTCAGTAGCCTCAGGGCCTGACCTTGCCATTCCACTGCCCTAGTCAAGACTAAAAAATGTGGCCCCGCAAAACTAGTATAGTCCCAGTAAGCAAAATTACATTGATTTTCCAGATGTTGAATTTAGGTTCTATTTAGGTTCTGAATGAAAGGTGAAAAGACGTATTTTCCCCTACGTTTTAAATACATATTTTCCAGGACGTTGAAAAGGCATCTTTTCCGGACGTTGAAAAATGTATATTTTCCAGAAGTTGAAACCAGGTAAATTTTCGGTTCTGAATGAAAGTTGAAAATACTTATTTTCCGGATGTTGAAAATACGTATTTTCCGGACTTTGAAAATATGTATTTTCCGGATGTTGAAATCATGCTCATTTCTGGTTCTGAATGGAAGTTGAAAATACCTAATTTATAAACTCAGCAAAAAAAGAAACGTCCCTTTTTCAGGACCCTGTCTTTCAAAGATAATTTGTGAATATCCAAATAACTTCACAAATCTTCATTGTAAAGGGTTTAAACACTGTTTCCCATGCTTGTTCATTTAACCATAAACAATTAATGAACATCCACCTGTGGAACGGTCGTTAAGACACTAACAGCTTACAGACGGTAGGCAATTAAGGTCACAGTTATGAAAACTTAGGGCACTAAAGAGGCCTTTCTACTGACTCTGAAAAACACCAAAAGAAAGATGCCCAGGGTCCCTGCTCATCTGTGTGAACGTGCCTTAGGCATACTGCAAGGAGGCATGAGGACTGCAGATGTGGCCAGGGCAATACATTGAAATGTCCGCACTGTGAGATGCCTAAGACAGCGCTACAGGGAGACAGGATGGACAGCTGATCGTCCTCGCAGTGGCATACCACGTGTAACAACACCTGCACAGGATCGGTACATCCGAACATTACACCTGCGGGACAGGTACAGGATGGCAACAACAACTGCCCGAGTTACACCAGGAACACACAATCCCTCCATCAGTGCTCAGACTGTCCGCAATAGGCAGAGAGAGGCTGGACTGAGGGCTTGTAGGCCTGTTGTAAGGCAGGTCCTCACCAGACATCACCGGTAACAACGTCGCCTATGGGCACAAACCCACCGTCGCTGGACCAGACAGGACTGGCAAAAAATGCACTTCACTGACGAGTCGCGGTTTTGTCTCACCAGGGGTGATGGTCGGATTCGTGTTTATCGTCTAAGGAATGAGCGTTACACCGAGGCCTGTACACTGGAGCGGGATCGATTTGGAGGTGGAGGGTCCGTCATGGTCTGGGGCAGTGTGTCACAGCATCATCGGACTGAGCTTGTTGTCATTGCAGGCCATCTCAACGCTGTGCGTTACAGGGAAGACATCCTCCTCCCTCATGTGGTACCCTTCCTGCAGGCTCATCCTGACATGACCCTCCAGCATGACAATGCCACCAGCCATACTGGAATGTCAGTGTTCTGCCATGGCCAGTGAAGAGCCCGGATCTCAATCCCATTGAGCACATCTGGGACCTGTTGGATCGGAGGGTGAGGGCTAGGGCCATTCCCTCCAGAAATGTCTGGGAACTTGCAGGTGCCTTGGTGGAAGAGTGGGGTAACATCTCACAGCAAGACCTGGCAAATATGGTGCACTCCATGAGGAGGAGATGCACTGCAGTACTTAATGCAGCTGGTGGCCACACCAGATACTGACTGTTACTTTTGATTTTGACCCCAACTTTGTTCAGGGACACATTATTCAATTTCTGTTGTCTGTGGAACTTGTTCAGTTTATGTCTCAGTTGTTGAATCTTTTTATGTTCATACAAATATTTACACATGTTAAGTTTGCTGAAAGTAAACGCAGTTGACAGTGAGAGGACATTTCTTTTTTTGCTTAGTTTAGATGTCTATGTTTGGGCCAAATCAAGGCTGGTCCAGACCGGACAAAATCTTAACCAATTATAGACATCTATGATTGGTTCAGATTTGGTCCGGACCATAAACCAATGTCAGTCGATGTGGAAATCAAGGCCGGTCCGGACTGCACCAAAAAAAGCTGTCCAAAAGGCGTTGGCGTCAGCCCGTGCTTACTGAGGTGTTGCCTGAAACTGAATTTTATGAATGCCCATCTATGTGGTAAGCCTACAGTTTGTAATACACCAAAAAAAGACATCTGGACAGGACCAAAAAAAACCATATAAAAGACGTTGGCTCGTTTACTGGGGTGTAGCCTACCATGTCAGCCCTCAATGGAATTTTATGAATGCCCATCACAGGAGGCTGGTGGCACCTTAATTGGGGAGGATGGGCTCGTAGTAATGGCTGGAGCGGCATAAGTGGAATGGTATCAAATACATCAAACACATGGTTTCCATTTGCTCCGTCCTCCCCTCAGCAGCCTCCACTGATGCCCATCCATGTGGTTGGCCCACCATTTGTAAAACAGGCTGTTGCATTGGCTTTATTAGTCCTGATTCCTGTGAATAATCAATTTGGGTATTTAAGCTCTGAATATCAGCTACCCAACTTTATCAGGAGTTATCGTGAGCCTATTTGCAATGCGTTTACACAGCAGGAAATGCAGAAAAAAAATGGCTTGTCAAAAAAAAAAAAAAATCAGCTTGTCAAAAATGGACGCATACAAACTTGAAACCACTGATCATGACAATGGGGTGAAACTCCTGGACAACAGTTGTGATTGTCCATTCCATATTGTTCATTTTACTTTGACCTGTCCTGTTTTTAGGATATGTTGTTTGTTAACATGACAGCACATTCTTTATTTGATTGGGTGCCATTTAGGTTAGGCTATTTGATCTGTGAAACCTGCATGATGTAAAAAGTGTCCGTCTCATTACATTGTCCTACATTGTATTATCTCCAGCCTGTAGGCTACAGAAAAGGCCACATACTCTTTCTTCCATATCCTATATCTGCCACATCAGTTATGTTAGATTTATTTTTTGACAGAACGTTGGTGGAGTGCCACAGCGATGCGTCTCTCCAACAGCACCCTGGAGAGGCGCACTGGGAATGGACAAGCAAAATATTTTGACAAAGTGGCCACTGCTTATTAGAGGGCAGCATCAACACTCACCTAAAAAGCCCTTATGCCGCTGCTTGAGAGAAATTGTCGTTGTTTTGGGGCAGAATTATGTGAGGTTTTATGTGTTGTTGTTGGAGGTGCATGTTGGTCAGTTTAGCTCAGAAAATGCCGCCCTCGTCAATCTGCAGCCATAGGCGGACGACTTATCCTGCCTAATGAGCGGGCCGGCCGTGAGTATCCTACATCTATCAGGGGTGCACAACTCCAGTTTACTGTAAGACTGACACTTATTCCTCTTATGTAATGATAAAAACATCAAATTACTATAACAACTATATAAATGAACAACAATGTTGTTATAACAGGTATAGGAGCTACCACTATACACCCCATTTAATCTTTGTTGCATCAACAGCGTTAATCTGTTTTAATCTTTTTTCCCTCAAGGGCTTGATAAAGAATAGCATAGTAGGCCTTAAATGTTAAGGTGTTGATTGACAGTGTCCTACAACACATTGATGAGGGGACACGATCTCTGTTAACCCTTTCACTCCAACCTGACGGCAACAAATCCAGTATACGGTTACACAGCCTGCACCTGGGTATGTGGTGTCTGAAAGTTGTCATTAATGGAAAGGAATTTCTTTAATACATTTATGAGATGGCTAATTGATACGGGTCCCCTCACGTCGCCAGGTGAGCGCCATCTGTTTGGCCCTACAGGCGTTGAATGTGACGCAATTAATACCTGCCATCGGCCGTTATCAACAATGTGGTTCATTATACATGAGGAGCAGTGGAGTTTGAAGCTAACGGACAGTGAGAGGTAAACAACTCTCTTTACTACCACCATGGATGACCATCATGCCTTGAAACGTAATCCCTTCCATGTCCGCCTCAGCAGATCCGATCTGGTTTCAAAACTTTGTAGACTGAGGCCCTATACGTTACACTTTGTCCTGACAGATGCACCTTTAACATAGTCAAGGGCGTAACTGATCCCCTGTTGGTCTGAAAAGAGCTTTGAGACGTGCAGTGCTGAGGTGTAGTGAGTGATTTCTCATGAAACTAGAACGGAACAATACTGTGATTTTGGGGGGATTTTCACACATTTCTATCCGTATTAGGGTCCTTTGGAGGAAGGATTGTTGACATACACTACCATTCAAAGTTTGGGGTCACTTAGAAATGTCCTTGTTTTCGAAAGAAAAGCAAAAATTTTTTGGCCATTTAAAATAACATCAAATTGATCAGAAATACAGTGTAGACATTGTTAATGTTGTAAATGGCTATTGTAGCTGGAAACGGCAGATTTTTTTAAATGGAATATCTACATAGGCGTACAGAGGCCCATTTATCAGCAACCATCAGTCCTGTGTTCCAATGGCACGTTGTGTTTGGTAATCCAAGTTTATCATTTTAAAAGGCCAGTCTGAGATATGGCTTTTTCTTTGCAACTCTGCCTAGAAGGTCAGCATCCCGTAGTCGCCTCTTCACTGTTGACGTTGAGACTGGTGTTTTGCGGGTACTATTTAATGAAGCTGCCAGTTGAGGACCTGTGAGGCATCTGTTTCTCAAACTAGACACTCTAATGTATTTGTCCTCTTGCTCAGTTGTGCACCGGGGCCTCCCACTCTTCTTTCTATTCTGGTTAGAGCCAGTTTGTGCTGTTCTGTGAAGGGAGTAGTACACAGCGTTGTACGAGATCTTCAGTTTCTTGGCAATTTCTTGCATGGAATAGCCTTAATTTCTCAGAACAAGAATAGACCGACGAGTTTCAGAAGAACGTTCTTTGTTTCTAGCCATTTTGAGCCTGTAATTGAACCCACAATTGCTGATGCTCCAGATACTCAACTAGTTTCAAGAATGCCAGTTTTATTGCTTCTTTAATCAGCACAACAGTTTTCAGCTGTGCTAACATAATTGCAAAAGGGTTTTCTAATGATAAATTAGCCTTTTAAAATGATAAACTTGGATTAGCAAACACAACGTGCCATTGGAACACAGGACTAATGGTTGCTGATAATGTGCCTTTGTATGCCTATGTAGATATTCCATTAAAGATCAGCCGTTTCCAGCTACAATAGCCATTTACAACATTAACAATGTCTACACTGTATTTATGATCAATTTGATGTTATTTTAATGGCAAAAAAATTGCTTTTCTTTCGAAAACAAGGACATTTCTAAGTGACCCCAAACTTTACAGACCCCAAACGGTAGTGTATATCTTATATTTGTAATAACATAATTGACATAATTCATTTAAATTGGAATATTTGTGACATTTTGGTGTTACCCAGGCCTCCTTTAAAACTCTATAATGTTTCATCTGTAGGTGCTAAAAAGCTCAAGTTGGTGTCATATGAAGCTTTACTGCTTGCTCTGTAATATGAGTGGTATTTTGATTTCAATAACAATTTTCTTACATTAATTTATGATTATTGAAATATATAAACATGAATATAGAAAATATGTACTTTTTTTATTAGGCCCATTTTTATTTATTTATTGTTGAACATAATAATAGTCTACGAGTATATCAAAGTTCCAGAGTAGGATCTGTCCTAGATTTAAAGTTATGGACCATTTTCTATTGAGAAATTGGCAGAGTAGGCAATGTATCACAGCCCTCCTTTTTGCTTGTGTCATTTCACATCCTGCAAATCACCAGCAGAGGGCGACCATTTTGAATCCATTTTCACATTCACTCTGTTGGTAACGCTTACAAATTGGATCATAACTCTAAAACTAGCAGATCCCACTCTGGAACTTTTATATGCCCATAGAGTATATTATGTTAAACATCATATAGATAAATTAGCCACATTTTTAAAATATTTAAAATATTCATGTTTATATTTTTCTATATTTATATAAGAAATGTGTTATTGAAATCAAAATGCTAGTCATATTACAGAGCAAGTGGTAAAGCTTTATATGACACAACCTTTGCATTGTAGCACCAAGAGATTAAACATGATAAAGTCTTAAAGGAGGCCTGGGTAAGGCCAAAATGTCATAAATTATTTCTCAATTAAGCTTTAAGATACAAATGTCAAATATATGTCAACAATCCTTCCTCCAAAAGACCGTTCTATGGATTACATTTTGTGAAAATCCCCCAAATCATGGTCTTTGTTTCTTTTAGTTTCGTAAGGAATCACACTAGTGTAAGTAAGTCCATTGACCTAAGTATATTAAGGCACACCCATCTTTCAGTGGGAGGAGATAGGCCTAATATTCAACTTAACATACTTGACCCTAGTAGGCTATAGCCTGGTGTATGGAGAAGAGGAACTTGAGAGAGATGATTTTCTAATGTAATTTATTATCTGAATAGGTCTTTGAAGATGTTGACCCATATGAAAACTCAGAGAGCAGTTCCTCCCTCTATATTCAATTACAATAATTACATTACAATAATGACAAAAATTGCAACTAATTCCCCCACTCCTTCCTACGGCAGGAAGCAGGTCTAGTGAGTTGATTCCAGAGCTATGGCTCTGGTTCTCAACTCAGTTTTTCACTGATAACCAGTAGGGGACATGCAGTTTTGAGTTTTGCCAGTAGCCAAACATGACATTGGGTGTGCTTGCTGTGCATTGCCTCGATGAATACTGCACTGATGTGGGCTAGGCCTATAGACAAGATGCACAGTGGGAGAATCACATTTTTCCCCTCTAAGCCTAAATGTATTGACCACTCCGCACTCTACGGTTGTTATTGATCCATGCTTTACTGTTGATGACCCAGCCTACTGTCATCTGCCATTAGACGTTACCCTCATTCGCTCACTACACTATGATGAGGACTGACACTATTTAGTGTTATTCCACAGATGTAGGCTAGTCTTGTGTAGAGATGCCTCAGCCTACATGGGAGACACTGTCTAAAGCCTGACATAAGGGCTCTGCTATAGGTGAACAAGCCCTCTGTATCATTGACTGTCACTAGGGGCATTTGTTAATTAGGTTCTAGGACTATAATAGGCACTAGGTAGAGTCCTAATCATGGTTTACTCACTGAGTTAGTGTAGCCTGTAAGGCATGGCCATAATGTGTCAGTAAACTAGGCCTAACATCCTGGCCGCTGTGGAACCGGGTGGTTTTGATGGCACAGCACTTTTGAAGCCCCAGAGGCATCTGCCTCCTGACTTTCAGCATATGGCCTTCTATTAACGGTGGGAAATGATTAGAGGTAATCTCTGATAATCCAACATGATTATATTCCCCTCTCAGGGAGCTGCACAGGGAAGAGTCAGATTGAGAGAGAGAGAGTCAAACTCTCATGTGAAATAGGGAGGATAATGTCTGTTTAATTTGGATCTGACAGATTACCTTTCTGTTTTCCACTACTTGCCAAGTGAGGTTTATAAAAAAGACAGTAGGCTGTCATCATTGACCTTTATGGATGGCACTTGGCATATGCGGCCATGTATAGTATTGTTGACATGGATAGCTTGTCTAACAACTCCAACTTTAGTATGATGTGAAAGAATAGGCAGGCAGTGGGTTGACAGGCAGAGTACAGATCTTGTTGTAAAATTGTTACATGCCCGCTGCCAGGCAACCTTACCAGGCTGGATCAGTAGGAATGATCAGGCTTGCCAGGACAAGTCTCTGCTAATTCATGCCAACGTCTCTCGGCCAATTCTGATTGAATGTTAAGGAGATGAGCTAATATCCTCTTCTGAACTGTGGGATGGAGCCAGAAGAACTAGAATTGTTCATTATTCACTCAATCACGCAATGTCCACAAGTGCCTCTTTGTGTGCCTGTGTGTGTGCGCGCGCACGTGTGTTAGATGAAGTTCTGGAATGCACTCACAGATGGGGCTATTCCCGTCTCTCTTCCCCTCCTCCACTAGATACTGCCCAAATGAATGTGACCCAATTAGCTGATAAGATTAAGGGGTGGTTAAACATTGAAATCTATGAGATTGTATTTATAGCAGGCTTTGACTGTCATGCAAGTTTTCTCTCTCACACTCTTTCTTTATTTATTCAGTTTCTCACGGGATGGTCCTACACCTCCCCTGTCATGTAGCTCCCCATACAGAAAAAACGAAATGATTTAACATGTGGAAAATCACGATTTCACATGTGAAAACATGTTTTGTGTTATCACATGTTGCTTTACATGTTGTCACATGTTATCACATTAACTTCACATAAGATCACGTGTTCACATCTGAAATTCATGGAGTTTTTCTTCAAGGGTCGCCTTGGGCCTATTCACTGAGGTGGCAATGACACCGTTTAGAATGTTGCAGATAGAAATACAATGTGTGGAGTTGTGAGATTCCCTAATTGACCCTTCATAAAGGTAGATTCAAGACAATAACCTTCATTTCTGTCTGATGTGATGGAAAGTATGTTACCACCGCTGGTGACACCATGGGTTTCTGAGCGGGTTCATGGTGTGTGAAGGGTTAGCAGGAAGATGTCAGAGTTCCAGGGAAGGCCCCAGCAGGGGGTTGTTGTAATCCTGTGAGAATATCATGTCCGTCCCCTGCCAGGGCTCCTCCTAACCATAGACTTACAGTATATGATTAGCTAACACAGGACTGCAGTCTCATTCACATTACCCACTGGGAGGTAAGCTCTGCCTCCTAGTGTCACTGGAAGGGCCACCCGCACACCCTGGCCTGAAATAACTTCTCTATTCGTGACAAGCAAATGGCCTCGTTAGTGGATGGAAGAATCCTTCATATTAATATAACAAAACCACAATACTGAGTAAAAGATGGTGCAACATGCGAAATTCCACCTGCACAAACCTATCCTATCAGTCTTTGAGCATGTATTTTTGTGTGTGCCAGTGTTTCATTCAACACCCCAACCCGATACTTGATATCCAATCTTTCTTGCGTTGGTTGGAATTGTGAGAATACCTCAACACTAACCCTTCATAGATCTCAATCATCAGAACCCCATCCTCAAACATCTCTCTCTCTCTCTCTCTCTCTCTCTCTCTCTCTCTCCTTTTACAGTTCCCTATGGGCAGGCGGTCTGCCTGTGACATCTACTGGCATGGAGTCTCTTTCCATGACAATGACAACATCATCTCTGGACAGGTCAACAAGTTCCCAGGTACATTGATCCCCTCTATTCATGGAAAGAATCTATGGGAGACGCTGGACACCATTTTGTATGTTGTCACAGTGTTTCGCATAGATGATTTTCCAGTTTCCCAAATCAACATCCACAGCCTCTTTAACAAAAAATGTATTAGCCAGTCCTACCCCCTATATAATGTTATAGTGGGAAACACTGTTGCCAAGCAGGTTTTTGGCATGTATCCTGTTATGTGAGCCTTGCTAAGCCCAGCTTTGTTAATGCCTTGTCATGCCAAGGTAATAAACCCAGCATTACTGATTATCGTATTAAGAGTGAGGAGGATTATTATATTGTGTGAGGAGCTGTAGCATGCTACACCCGACCATCACCCCATATATACTGCTCATCACTCACCCCATAACACGCAGAACTACATGAGGGTGGGTTAACCAAACCACCTGTCTGTTTCTCACGTGTATGCTCTAGCTCCACTCATCATTGGCCTGTGTCACGCCATGCTACACCCATTGACTGGGTACAGAGCCAAGGTCTTCTGTGCTCCACAACACAGTGTTAGCCCTCTGAACTTAAACCTACACTCTTAGAAAGAAAGGTACTATATAGAACCAAAAAGGGTACTTTGGCTGTCCCCATAGGAGAAACCTTTGAAGAACCCTTTTTGGTTCCAGGTACCTATTCAAGTTAGTGGATTCGGCTATATCAGCCACACCTGTTGCTGACAGATGTATAAAATCGAGCACACAGCAATGCAATCTCCATAGACAAACATTGGCAATAGAATGGCCTTACTGAAGAGCTCAGTGACTTCCAACGTGGCACTGTCATAGGATGCCACCTTTCCAACAAGTCAGTTTGTCAAATATCTGCCCTGCTAGAGCTGCCCCAATCAACTGTAAGTGCTGTTATTGTGAAGTGGAAACGTCTAGGAGCAACAACGGCTCAGCTGCGAAGTGGTAGGCCACACAAGCTCACAGAACAGGACCACCGAGTGCCGAAGCACGTAGCGCGTAAAAATTGTCTGTCCTCGGTTGCAACACTCACTACTGAGTTCCAAACTGCCTCTGGAAGCAACGTCAGCACAAGAACTGTTAGTCGGGAACTTCATAAAATTTGTTTCAATGGCCGTGCAGCCGCAAACAAGCCGAAGATCACCATGCACAATGCCAAGCGTCGGCTGGAGTGGTGTAAAGCTCACCGCCGTTGGACTCTGGAGCAGTGGAAACGCATTCTCTGGAGTGATAAATCACGCTTCACCATCAGGCAGTCCGACGGACGAATCTGGGTTTGGCGAATGCCAGGAGAATTCTACCTGTCCCAATGCATAGTGCCAACTGTAAAGTTTGGTGGAGGAGGAATAATGGTCTGGGGCTGCTTTTCATGGTTCTGGCTAGGTCCCTTAGTTCCAGTGAAGGGAAATCTTAACACTACAACATACAATGACATTCTAGACGATTCTGTGCTTCCTACTTTGTGGCAACAGTTTGGGGAAGGCCCTTTCCTGTTTCAGCATGAAAATGCCCCCGTTCACAAAGCACGGTCCATACAGAAATGGTTTTGTCGAGATCAGTGTGGAAGAACTTGACTGGCCTGCACAGAGCCCTGACCTCAACCCCATCGAACACATTTGGGATGAATTGGAATGCTGACTGAGAGCCAGGCCTAATCGCCCAACATCAGTGCCTGACCTCATTAATGCTATTGTGGCTGAATGGAAGCAAGTCATAGCAGCAATGTTCCAACATCTAGTGGAAAGCCTTCCCAGAAGAGTGGAGGCTGTTATAGCAGCCCATGATTTTGGAATGAGATGTTCGACGAGCAGGTGTCCCAGATACTTTTGGTCATGTAGTGTACCTTTTTTAAATGGCCTCTGTCTGTCTGTCCGTCTGTAAATTGTTCTGTAGGTATGATTGAGATGCTGAGGAAGATCAACCTGACCCGAGCTGTGAGGACCATGCAGGAGCTGTTCCCTGAGGAGTACAACTTCTACCCCCGCTCCTGGATCCTGCCCGAGGAGTACCAGCTCTTCTCCGCACAGGTACAGTACACAGCCAAGGATACAGGACAATAACAAAAAATCTGAATTGGGCTGCCTGTGTAAGTGCCTCTCTCCCCACCTCTGTTTTCAGCTGTACTCAGCTGGCAAAGTTAGTGTGACAAAATGTTGCTGTTTTAAAGCACATTTTCTGCAATTCTACACATTTTGACATGGGAAATATATATATATATATATATATATATATATATATATATATATATATATTTGTTTTTATTTTTAAATAAGATCATCTAAAATTCCCAAAGTGTAATGGCATGGGGCCCCCAATGATAGCATAAGCAGATAGCATAAGAACACGGCATAAGCCATGACAAAACGTGTAGAAATGCAAGAAATTAGCTTTAAAACTGCACATTTTCTCTCAGCCCCATGACAAAATGAGTAGAATTGCAGGAAACTAGCTTTAAAACTGAAATATATACACAGTGAGGGAAAAAAAGTATTTGATCCCCTGCTGATTTTGTAAGTTTGCCCACTGACAAATAAATTATCAGTCTATAGTTTTAATGGTAGGTTTATTTGAACAGTGAGAGACAGAATAACAACAACAAAATCCAGAAAAACACATGTCAAAAAATGTATAAATTGATTTGCATTTTAATGAGGGAAATAAGTATTTGACCCCCTCTCAATCAGAAAGATTTCTGGCTCCCAGGTGTCTTTTATACAGGTAACGAGCTGAGATTAGGAGCACACTCTTAAAGCGAGTGCTCCTAATCTCAGTTTGTTACCTGTATAAAAGACACCTGTCCACAGAAGCAATCAATCAATCAGATTCCAAACTCTCCACCATGGCCAAGACCAAAGAGCTCTCCATGGATGTCAGGGACAAGATTGTAGACCTACACAAGGGCTACAAGACCATCGCCAAGCAGCTTGGTGAGAAGGTGACAACAGTTGGTGTGATTATTCGCAAATGGGGCTCCATGCAAGATCAAATGGGGCTCCCTCGGCCTGGGGCTCCATGCAAGATCTCACCTCGTGGAGTTGCAATGATCATGAGAACGGTGAGGAATCAGCCCAGAACTACACGGGAGGATCTTGTCAATGATCTCAAGGCAGCTGGGACCATTGCAGCGCCCGCAATGTCCCCCTACTCAAGAAAGCACATATACAGGCCCATCTGATGTTTGCCAATGAACATCTGAATGATTCAGAGGAGAACTGGGTGAAAGTGTTGTGGTCAGATGAGACCAAAATCGAGCTCTTTGGCATCAACTCAACACGCCGTGTTTGGAGGAGGAGGAATGCTGCCTATGACCCCAAGAACACCATCCCCACCGTCAAACATGGAGGTGGAAACATTATGCTTTGGGGGTGTTTTTCTGCTAAGGGGACAGGACAACTTCACCGCATCAAAGGGACGATGGACGGGGCCATGTACCGTCAAATCTTGGGTGAGAACCTCCTTCCCTCAGCCAGGGCATTGAAAATGGGTCGTGGATGGGTATTCCAGCATGACAATGACCCAAAACACACGGCCAAGGCAACAAAGGAGTGGCACAAGAAGAAGCACATTAAGGTCCTGTAGTGGCCTAGCCAGTCTCCAGACCTTAATCCCATAGAAAATCTGTGGAGGGAGCTGAAGGTTCGAGTTGCCAAACGTCAGGCTCGAAACCTTAATGACTTGGAGAAGATCTGCAAAGAGGAGTGTGACAAAATCCCTCCTGAGATGTGTGCAAACCTGGTGGCCAACTACAAGAAACGTCTGACCTCTGTGATTGCCAACAAGGGTTTTGCCACCTAGTACTAAGTCATGTTTTGCATAGGGGTCAAATACTTATTTCCCTCATTAAAATGCAAATCAATTTACAACATTTTTAACATGCGTTTTTCTATATTGTTATTCTGTCTCTCACTGTTCAAATAAACCTACCATTAAAATTATAGACTGATCATTTCTTTGTCAGTGGGCAAACGTACAAAATCAGCAGGGGATCAAATACTTTTTTCCCTCACTGTATGTGTATATATATATATATATATATACACTGCTCAAAAAAATAAAGGGAACACTAAAATAACACATCCTAGATCTGAATGAATGAAATAATCTTATTAAATACTTTTTTCTTTACATAGTTGAATGTGCTGACAACAAAATCACACAAAAATTATCAATGAAAATCAAATTCATCAACCCATGGAGGTCTGGATTTGGAGTCACCCTCAAAATTAAAGTGGAAAACCACACTACAGCCTGATCCAACTTTGATGTAATGTCCTTAAAACAAGTCAAAATGAGGCTCAGTGGTGTGTGTGGCCTCCACGTGCCTGTATGACCTCCCTACAACGCCTGGGCATGCTCCTGATGAGGTGGCGGATGGTCTCCTGAGGGATCTCCTCCCAGACCTGGACTAAAGCATCCGCCAACTCCTGGACAGTCTGTGGTGCAACGTGGCGTTGGTGGATGGAGCGAGACATGATGTCCCAGATGTGCTCAATTGGATTCAGGTCTGGGGAACGGGCGGGCCAGTCCATAGCATCAATGCCTTCCTCTTGCAGGAACTGCTGACACACTCCAGCCACATGAGGTCTAGCATTGTCTTGCATTAGGAGGAACCCAGGGCCAACCGCACCAGCATATGGTCTCACAAGGGGTCTGAGGATCTCATCTCGGTACCTAATGGCAGTCAGGCTACCTCTGGCGAGCACATGGAGGGCTGTGCGGCCCCCCAAAGAAATGCCACCCCACACCATGACTGACCCACCGCCAAACCGGTCATGCTGGAGGATGTTGCAGGCAGCAGAACGTTCTCCACGGCGTCTCCAGACACTGTCATGTCTGTCAAATGTGCTCAGTGTGAACCTGCTTTCATCTGTGAAGAGCACAGGGCGCCAGTGGCGAATTTGCCAATCTTGGTGTTCTCTGGCAAATGCCAAACGTCCTGCATGGTGTTGGGCTGTAAGCACAACCCCCACCTGTGGATGTCGGGCCCTCATACCACCCTCATGGAGTCTGTTTCTGACCGTTTGATTAGACACATGCACATTTGTGGCCTGCTGGAGGTCATTTTGCAGGGCTCTGGCAGTGCTCCTCCTGCTCCTCCTTGCACAAAGGCGGAGGTAGCAGTCCTGCTGCTGGGTTGTTGCCCTCCTACGGCCTCCTCCACGTCTCCTGATGTACTGGCCTGTCTCCTGGTAGCGCCTCCATGCTCTGGACACTACGCTGACAGACACAGCAAACCTTCTTGCCACAGCTCACATTGATGTGCCATCCTGGATGAGCTGCCACTACCTGAGCCACTTGTGTGGGTTGTAGACTCCGTCTCATGCTACCACTAGAGTGAAAGCACCGCCAGCATTCAAAAGTGACCAAAACATCAGCCAGGAAGCATAGGAACTGAGAAGTGGTCTGTGGTCACCACCTGCAAAACCAGTCCTTTATTGGGGGTGTCTTGCTAATTGCCTATAATTTCCACCTGTTGTCTATTCCATTTGCACAACAGCATGTGAAATTTATTGTCAATCGCTGTTGCTTCCTAAGTGGACAGTTTGATTTCACAGAAGTGTGATTGACTTGGAGTTACATTGTGTTGTTTAAGTGTTCCCTTTATTTTTTTGAGCAGTGTATATACAGTGGGGGGAAAAAAGTATTTAGTCAGCCACCAATTGTGCAAGTTCTCCCACTTAAAAATGAGAGGCCTGTAATTTCATCATAGGTACATGTCAACTATGACAGACAAATTGAGAAAAAAAAATCCAGAAAATCACATTGTAAGATTTTTAATGAATTTATTTGCAAATTATGGTGGAAAATAAGTATTTGGTCACCTACAAACAAGCACGATTTCTGGCTCTCACAGACCTGTAACTTCTTATTTAAGAGGCTCCTCTGTCCTCCACTCGTTACCTGTATTAATGGCACCTGTTTGAACTTGTTATCAGTATAAAAGACACCTGTCCACAACCTCAAACAGTCACACTCCAAACTCCACTATGGCCAAGACCAAAGAGCTGTCAAAGGACACCAGAAACAAAATTGTAGACCTGCACCAGGCTGGGAAGACTGAATCTGCAATAGGTAAGCAGCTTGGTTTGAAGAAATCAACTGTGGGAGCAATTATTAGGAAATGGAAGACATACAAGACCACTGGTAATCTCCCTCGATCTGGGGCTCCACGCAAGATCTCACCCCGTGGGGTCAAAATGATCACAACGGTGAGCAAAAATCCCAGAACCACACGGGGGGACCTAGTGAATGACCTGCAGAGAGCTGGGACCAAAGTAACAAAGCCTACCATCAGTAACACACTACGCCGCCAGGGACTCAAATCCTGCAGTGCCAGACGTGTCCCCCTGCTTAAGCCAGTACATGTCCAGGCCCGTCTGAAGTTTGCTAGAGTGCATTTGGATGATCCAGAAGAGGATTGGGAGAATGTCATATGGTCAGATGAAACCAAAATAGAACTTTTTGGTAAAAACTCAACTCGTCGTGTTTGGAGGACAAAGAATGCTGAGTTGCATCCAAAGAACACCATACCTACTGTGAAGCATGGGGGTGGAAACATCATGCTTTGGGGCTGTTTTTCTGCAAAGGGACCAGGACGACTGATCCGTGTAAAGGAAAGAATGAATGGGGCCATGTATCGTGAGATTTTGAGTGAAAACCTCCTTCCATCAGCAAGGGCATTGAAGATGAAACGTGGCTGGGTCTTTCAGCATGACAATGATCCCAAACACACCGCCCGGGCAACGAAGGAGTGGCTCCGTAAGAAGCATTTCAAGGTCCTGGAGTGGCCTAGCCAGTCTCCAGATCTCAACCCCATAGAAAATCTTTGGAGGGAGTTGAAAGTCCGTGTTGCCCAGCGACAGCCCCAAAACATCACTGCTCTAGAGGAGATCTGCATGGAGGAATGGGCCAAAATACCAGCAACCGTGTGTGAAAACCTTGTGAAGACTTACAGAAAACGTTTGACCGGTGTCATTGCCAACAAAGGGTATATAACAAAGTATTGAGAAACTTTTGTTATTGACCAAATACTTATTTTCCACCATAATTTGCAAATAAATTCATTAAAAATCCTACATTTTCCTCATTTTTGTCTGTCATAATTGACGTGTACCTATGATGAAAATTACAGGCCTCTCTCATCTTTTTAAGTGGGAGAACTTGCACAATTGGTGGCTGACTAAATACTTTTTTTCCCCACTGTGTGTATATAAATATATATAGCATTATTATTTCTGCAGACTTTATATCTGCTTTCAGTAGTTTAAGTTTACACTGAAAACATTTTACCATCCCGAAAATTATATATAAAAACTAACAGTACAGTCCTCAGTGGACTGCTTATTAGGTACACCACCCATTCACGGAAATTGTTTGCTCCTACAGACAGTGGCCGTGGCTTGTTATATAAAGCAGGCAGACAGGCATCGAGGCATTTAGTTACTGTTCGATTGAACGTTAGAATGGGCCAAACGAGTGACCTTAGCGACTTTGAGCATGGTATGATTGTCGGTGCCAGGCGTGCCGGTTCCAGTATCTCAGTCAATGTTTTCCTGGCACACATTAGGTTCCCTAACAAAATGTCCCCAGTTGGTCAAACTGGTCCCCACAAGAATAGTTAAACATGTCCACACACACACACACACACACACACACACACACACACACACACACACACACACACACACACACACACACACACACACACACACACTCTCACTTCTGGGGTAATTGGCAGGGACAGTGGATCTGTTCTGAGCGTACTCAGTGCTAAGCAGTTTAGCACAGAGAGAGTCAGCAGCAGCTGCTAATAGTGAATGACATGCTCTCTAACAGCCTGTGACACACCCTGGTCACTACCATACCACAGGATACCACACACGCATACTGTACCACAGGATACCACACACGCATACTCTACCACAGCGCCAGCTGGGTTAAACACACACACATACTCTCACGCGCACACACATACAGCCACCCTTGTTGAACCCGCAGCGTTGGCACCAATGACTGTATATACGAATGGAGAAAGCCATTGATTACGTGACACCATTCATTCCTATGTGAAGACTCAATAGCGCATTGAAGCCAAATTAAGTCGATTTAGATGGCGTCTTATGGAGACATAACATGCGCAGTTCCAGCTACTCCAGGAAGTGATGTTGCAGGCTAGCTCAGTGCTGCCCCCTCTCATTGAGTAACTCAAGTTGAAGGCCGACCGGGGTACTGCAGGCTTCCATTAGCAACTTATTTTGTGTAGTAGAAGCAATTATTGGTACCATGATTTGTCTTTGAAACAATTTTCTATTTACACAAAGATTGACCACGAAGATCGCCATTTTTCCATTCACTATAATAGGGATCCTGTTTTCTACTTACAATGCCTGCAGTACCGCGGTCGACCTTGAACTTCCGTGGTTTCAATGAGAGGGGGCAGTCGTTCTCCCCTTGTTGGCACGCAGGATTATTTAGAGCTAATACGTGTTAATGGTGTTTGACCTTCAGAGGTCACGGTGACTTTGAGAGGGCGTGTCCTCAGACAGCCTCCCTGCCTGGCATAGGGATGGATGGTGGACGGGTCATTCAACTGGCTTTGTGAATGAACTGACATCATTGAAAAAGGCACGATGGAAAAAGATACAGCTCAGCTAGTCAAACAGAGGGGGGCACTAGAGTCCCTTTTAAAAGGCTCTGAATCTTAAACTACAGATGGTCTACAGCAGGGCTCGCCAACCCTGTTCCTGGAGAGCTACCGTCGTGTAGGTTTTCGCTCCAACCCTAATCTTGCACACCTGATTCTAATAATTAGCTGGTTTATAAGATGAATCAGATTAGTTACAACTGGGGTTGGAATGAAAACCTATAGGACAGTAGCGCTCCAGGAACAGGGTTGGAGAGCCCTGGACTACAGGCATAGACTAAACCTGATGGAGCTGTGCCATAGGATACTATCAAAGCTAAGGGCGATAAGTCTTAACATTGAAGTTCATCTGAATTACTTTATACTTTAATCAAGGTAGGTCACGATAAGGAATGAGAGTGTGTATGTAGTTAATATTAATTAATCCCAACCTAGGAAATTGCTCTAGATATATATATATATAAGCCCTGAGAGCTCAATATCTGGACTTTGGATGTGGCGTCTGAATGGTGCAAAATACTCTAGGTAGCAGTGAAGAGACACTGATTGAGAGAGTGAACATTTGAAATGCCCATACAGGCATTAGCAGTAATGTTTTTCAGAGAGACACGGACAGGATAATGTCCTCAGCTAAAGATGCAGTCATGCAAAGGCAAAGGCACAGCCGATAGCTACATGATCAGCTTGATATTGCTCTGCTTATATCACTCAACTTTGGGGAGCTTAAGTCACATTAGGGGATAACAGGTAGTTTGCTACCACCATATTGCAGCACTAAATGTACTGTGATTTGCCGCAGAGGGGCTCCTTTACAATCCAGCTGATTTGGACTCTTTGCCATTGATGAGAATTGGTTTGAAGTTTAAAGTGCAAAAATATTTGGCATTTTCCTTAAACATCAAATCAGATGACCTGTGCTTGATTGACCTTAACATCTGCACCCATTTAGACTCATGGATGGTCAATGTTTATTTCTGAGTGTTGCTGTCTGTCTCAGATCAGTCTGGCCAAGGACAGTGATGCGTCCCTGAAGCCCACCTTCATCATCAAGCCGGATGGAGGGTCCCAGGGGGACGGCATCTACCTCATCCGTGACCCCAGCGACCTCCGCGTCATAGCGGGGTCACATACCAAGCAGTCCGTGGTCCAGGAATACATCCACAAGCCCCTGCTCATCGACAAGCTCAAGTTCGACATCCGTCTCTACGTACTGGTCAAGTCCCTGGAGCCTCTGGAGATCTATATCGCTAAAGAGGGGCTGTCGCGTTTCTGCACCGAGCCATACCAGGTAAGAACATGCATAAGGACTTTATAACATGTTCATAACCCATTCATAACCCATTCTGCACCGAGCCATACCAGGTATGAACGGTAGGAACACTTTATCTGAAGAGTACCTACATAAGGACTTCATAACACATACATACCGCATTCATAAGCAGTACATAAGATATTTTATCTTCCATTCGGCATAAAAGCATACTACTAGCATTTAAACATTGACTTTCTTCATGTTTAAACAGTAGACATGTTTCTATGTTTTAAATATAGAATTCTAAAATCTGTTTCTCCCATCTCCCTGCCACCCCACTAGGAGCCTAGTCAGAAGAACCTGAGCCATGTGTTCATGCACCTGACCAACTACTCCCTCAACGTCCAGAGCGGGAACTTCGTCCACTCAGACAGCCTGTCGTCGGGCAGCAAGCGCACCTTCTCCAGCGTGCTCTACCGCCTGGCCTCTAAGGGAGTGGACATCAAGAAGGTGTGGTCAGACATCATCTCTCTGGTCATCAAGACGGTCATCGCCCTGGTCCCTGAGCTCAAGGTCTACTACCAGGCCGACATACCGTCCGGCAAACCAGGACCCACCTGTTTCCAGGTACGGAGTAGGGACAGGAGAGAGTGTCGTGTGGAGTGTGTGTGATTCAGTTGGTTGTCATGGGAATGTAATAAATGAAAGAGGTTTTACAATCTAATATAACAATCTTCAGTTGTATTAAGGTGATAGACCCTGAATCCATTAGTCGATAGCCTTGAGCTCAGACAGAGTTATCGAAAACTACACTAATGTGGTTGATATTTAAATGTGTTCTTAGGTACTAGATGTATTTTAGGGAAAGTGTGACGGAGTGTTAGATGTGGTGTTTTGCAATACGTAATGACCATCTCTACCGTGTGTGTGTCAGATCTTGGGATTTGACATCCTACTGATGAAGAACCTAAAGCCAGTTTTACTGGAGGTCAACGCCAACCCCAGTATGAGAATAGAACACGAGCAGGAGGTGAGTAGGCCCATCATCACCACAGCCATGCGCTGCAGTGTTAATGCCTCATGTTGTGTTTGTGTGTGTGTTTTTCAGGTGTCCCCGGGGGTGTTTGAATACGTCACCAGCCCAGTAGATGAGGAGGTGAAGGTGGGAGTCATTAGAGACACACTACGTCTCATGGACCCCGCTCAAAAGAAATCACCAACGTGAGTCTACCACACACACACACACACACACACACACACACACACACACACACACACACGTGGACATGAAGCTAGGGTTATGGGTAAGGCTAGGGTTTGGATTGAACTGGAATGTGGACATGAAGTTAGGGTTCAGGGCTCTACGATATTACAGTGTTAGGCTTTCACAATGCAATTCAAGGAAACCGATCGTAATTCTGATGCGCATAGAAAGGAATCATGAGTGCATTCAAGTGCGTGTGTCTGTTCAGAACATCCCAGGGTAGCCTAGCGGTTAAGAGCATTGGGCCAGTAACCGAAAGGTCGCTGGTTCGAATCCCTGAGCTGACTAGGTGAAATATCTGTCTGTGCCATTGAGCAAAAGCACTTAACCCTAATTGCTCCTGTAAGTCGCTCTGGATAAGAGCGTCTGCTAAATGACTAAAATGTAACTGTACATCAAGCATAGTGATCAGAAATGTTGACACTATATTTGTTTTATGCTGTGGAAATGTGAAGTGCACGTTTGGACTCACGGGTGTTGCTTGTATGATATCAAAGCAGTATTTATTATAATCCTCAACGTCTTATTTTTCCTTTTCATTTACAGAATTTCCCTCACTCAGACAACAAAAACATTGAAATATTTGCCCAAGTTCAGAACGGCTGTCAGTCAAAACCCATACAGCACTGTGAAGCGCAGAGCCAGAGCTCTGACGTCTTGCGTAGCATGTTAATGTACAGCCACTGTGTTCCAATTTAGGTATTTATCAGTGACCAAATCTGCCATTTTCAACCTCTATACAGGTACGAGTGTAAAAGGCTACAAAGCTTTAGGATATATTTGAGCAATGTAAGGCATTACTCTATTCTTTAGAATTGCATTGCATTTATTTTTGTTTTCAAAGTAGGCCTGTCATTGAAATATTTGTTTTACATTTCAAAATAGGACGTTGCCCCTTTTTAAGACAGACCTTTCGAAAGAGATATCATATGTCTACAGTAGGCTAGCCAAGACGAATGCTAGGTGTCTTTTTGTAGACTTTCATCAGTAGGCAGTAGACCATTTTTTTCAAGTGACAAGTAAGACAACTGAGATGGTAGCCTATGATTTAAAAAAGTAAGCTATTTCATCTAACATACAGTGGGGAAAAAAAGTATTTAGTCAGCCACCAATTGTGCAAGTTCTCCCACTTAAAAAGATGAGAGAGGCCTGTAATTTTCATCATAGGTACACGTCAACGATGACAGACAAATTGAGAAAAAAAAATCCAGAAAATCCCATTGTAGGATTTTTAATGAATTTATTTGCAAATTATGGTGGAAAATAAGTATTTGGTCACCTACACACAAGCAAGATTTCTGGCTCTCACAGACCTGTAACTTCTTCTTTAAGAGGCTCCTCTGTCCTCCACTCGTTACCTGTATTAATGGCACCTGTTTGAACTTGTTATCAGTATAATAGACACCTGTCCACAACCTCAAACAGTCACAATCCAAACTTCACAATGGCCAAGACCAAAGAGCTGTCAAAGGACACCAAAAACAAAATTGTAGACCTGCACCAGGCTGGGAAGACTGAATCTGCAATGGGTAAGCAGCTTGGTTTGAAGAAATCAACTGTTGGAGCAATTATTAGGAAATGGAAGACATACAAGACCACTGATAATCTCCCTCGATCTGGGGCTCCACGCAAGATCTCACCCCGTGGGGTCAAAATGATCACAAGAACAGTGAGCAAAAATCCCAGAACCACACAGGGGGACCTAGTGAATGACCTGCAGAGAGCTGGGACCAAACTAACAAAGCCAACCATCAGTAACACACTACGCCGCCAGGGACTCAAATCCTGCAGTGCGAGACGTGTCCCCCTGCTTAAGCCAGTACATGTCCAGGCCCGTCTGAAGTGCATTTGGATGATCCAGAAGAGGATTGGGAGAATGTCATATGGTCAGATGAAACCAAAATATAACTTTTTGGTAAAAACTCAACTCGTCGTGTTTGGAGGACAAAGAATGCTGAGTTGCATCCAAAGAACACCATACCTACTGTGAAGCATGGGGGTGGAAACATCATGCTTTGGGGCTGTTTTTCTGCAAAGGGACCAGGACGACTGATCCGTGTAAAGGAAAGAATGAATGGGGCCATGTATTGTGAGATTTTGAGTGAAAACCTCCTTCCATCAGCAAGGGCATTGAAGATGAAACGTGGCTGGGTCTTTCAGCATGACAATGATCCCAAACACACCGCCCGGGCAACGAAGGAGTGGCTTCGTAAGAAGCATTTCAAGGTCCTGGAGTGGCCTAGCCAGTCTCCAGATCTCAACCCCATAGAAAATCTTTGGAGGGAGTTGAAAGTCTGTGTTGCCCAGCGACAGCCCCAAAACATCACTGCTCTAGAGGAGATCTGCATGGAGGAATGGGCCAAAATACCAGCAACAGTGTGTGAAAACCTTGTGAAGACTTACAGAAAACGTTTGACCTGTGTCATTGCCAACAAAGGGTATATAACAAAGTATTGAGAAACTTTTGTTATTGACCAAATACTTATTTTCCACCATAATTTGCAAATAAATTCATTAAAAATCCTATAATGTGATTTTCTGGATTTTTTTTTCTCATTTTGTCTGTCATAGTTGACGTGTACCTATGATGAAAATTACAGGCCTCTCTCATATTTTTAAGTGGGAGAACTTGCACAATTGGTGGCTGACTAAATACTTTTTTGCCCTACTGTATTCAGGAAATGCATGATTTGATATTTTGATGTGCAACCTGTCAAATTACCAGAATTATCGCATTTATTTTTGTGCATATTGGGCTAGGCTATATTATTCACCACCTGAGGAAGTGGGAACTCAAAACACTTAGCTAGATTGCTAACTCTAAATATGATATTATTGCTAGATAGCCATGTAGGCTAATTGATTAATCTATCAGTAAATGTAATGTCCTACAAAAACTTTCCAGCGCTAGGCTACTTGAGGTAGGCCCATTCACCGCAAGCGGCGCGCTCCGCTTGGCTCCGCGGGGGCATCAGAACCATATACTACATAGCCTAGTTTCAAGTTGTATTAGTCTTATATACAGGATACAATGCTTTCTTGTAGGTTCCTTCTCGACGATGCAACAACAATAAGAAAAATAAATCATCATCAGCAGATGTCACAAAGTGCTATACAGAAACCCAGCCTAAAACCCCAAACAGCAAGCAATGCAGATGTAGAAGCACGGTGGCTAGGAAAAACTCCCTAGAAAGGCACGAACCTAGGAAGAAACCTAGAAAGGAACCAGGCTCTGAGGGGTGGCCAGTCCTCTTCTGGCTGTTCCGGGTGGAAATTATAAGTGTACATGGCCATTTAAGGTCAAATTGTTCTTCAAGATGTTCAAACGTTCATAGATGACCAGCAGGGTCAAATATTAATCACAGTGGTTGTAGAGGGTGCAACAGGTCAGCACCTCAGGAGTAAATGTCAGTTGGCTTTTCATAGCCGAGCATTCAGAGGTCGAGACAGCAGGTGCGGTAGAAAGAGAGAGTCGAAAACAGCAGGTCCGGGACAAGGTAGCACGTCCGGTGAACAGGTCAGGGTTCCCTAGCCGCAGGCAGAACAGTTGAAACTGGAGCAGCAGAACGACCAGGTGGACTGGGGACAGCCAGGAGTCATCAGTAGAATATATAATAAACATTTTAGCATAAGTACAATACAGTAAGGCACAGTTTATAGTATAATATTTACATGTGCTTTGGGGAAGGGGGGATTGGGGTGCATGTGTTTTAAATTGTGCAGTTTTTAGCAATCATAATAAGAGTCTGGTTGTGATGTTTGTGTGTGTATGTAGCATGAATCTATGTGAGTGTTTGTGTGTGTATGTCTGTGTGGCTGCACGCGTGAGTGCATGTGTGCTAACGTGTGTAGAATCAAAGCAGGTGGTCAGTCCAGTCAAGTCTTCGACAGTCTGATGGCTTGTAGATAGAAACAGTCTCTGAGCCTGTTGGTATCAGACCTCATGCTCCGATACTGTCTGGCCGACGGTAAGGGAGTGAACAGCTCTTGGCTGGGGCGTGTGGGGTCCTTGAAGATGCTGCCTTAGGAAGTAGAGGCGCTGTTGCACCTGCTTGACAAGAGTGGTGGTGGTGTTGGTCCATGTCAAGTCCTCAGTGATGTGGACGCCGAGGAAATTAAAACTGCTGACCCTCTCTACTGCAGTCCCATTGATGTGGATTGGGGGCATGTTCTCTCCCCTGCTTCCTGAAGTCAACAATCAACTCATTTGTTTTGCTGACGTTGAGGGAGAGGTTGTTGTCCTGTCATCACAATGCCTGTTGACTTACCTCCTCCCTATAGGCTGACTCGTCGTTGTTGGTTATCAGGCTACTCTCGAAGCACTTCATGATGACCGGGATGAGTGCGAAGGGGCGATAGTCATGTCACCTTGTTTGTCTTGGGCACTGGGACGACGGTGGTCTCCTTGAAGCAGGTGGGGACTACAGCCTGGGACAGGGACAGGTTGAAGATGTCCGAGAAGAAGCCTACTCTGAATATAAAGTGGTGCTATGAACTCAATATTGAGAGGTGAGAAGTCAATGATATACTCACAGAAAGCTGTGACTCTCCTCTCTGTAACTAGAACAACAGTAGTTGCTTTGAAAACTGTATACTTCCTGCAATTGCATGTTGAGCAACGGTCATATGGTTGTGCTTATTAGAATGCACCTCTCTCCTCCGTGAGAGTGGCTCGCTCACACAGCAGCCAACAGCAAAACGGGGACAGGCAGATACTTTCATATGGTTTGTTTTTGGTCAGTTGCAGATTTCTGTTTGAATAAATCATGATAATAAAAAAATAAAAGCACATTGTGAGCATTGTGACCAGCTACATTGTTTTCACTGGCACCCTAGCGACCAATCAAAAAAGTATTGTCGCACTGCCAAGTCAATTGGTCGCAAATGCAAGTGTTTTGTGCCCTGGGGTTAGGGTTGTGGTTGTGTTTGAGGCTAGGGTTAGGGTTGAACCAGGATGTGGATACAAAGCTAGTGTT